GTCCCCTGTGGGTGTCCCCCCCCTCACGCGGTGCCCCGGCAGACGCAGCTGATGTACAAGTGGGCAGAGCCTAAGATCTGCAGCGAGGAGCTGCCGCGGGCGGCCCGGCTGCCGCCCTCGGGGGGCAGGTCGCGGTGCCCCCCCTGCAACCCCGGCTTTGCCAAGGGCGCCAGGGGCTCCTGCCAGCCTTGTCCCCGCGGCTCCTTCTCCAACGGCTCCGGTAAGGCCGCCCCGGAGCGTCCCCGGGGGGCAACAGGGACACCCCGAGCTGCCGGCAGGAGGGGGGTGCCGTCCTGGGGGCAGGGCTGTCCCCTCCTGTCCCCATCATTGTCCCCCAGGGGGGTTACCGGGGCACCCCGAGCTGCCGGGGGGAAGGTGGGGGTGTCACCCCAGTGCAGGGCTGTCCCCTCCTGTCCCCATCATTGTCCCCCAGGGGGGTTACCGGGCCACCCCGAACTGCCGGGGGGGGAAGGTGGGTGCCACCCCAGGGTGGGGTTGTCCCGTCCCCATAGCTCCGCTAAGGATATCCCTGTCATTGTCCTCAAGGGGCGACCAGGGTCCCCAGAGCTGCCAGGGCGAAGGGGCTGTCCCCTCCTGTCTCTATAATTGTCCCCAAGGGATGACCGGGGTCCCTGGAGCTGCCGGGGGGGAGGTGGGGGTGCCACCTCGGTGCAGGGTTGTCCCCTCGTGTCCCCAGCCTGCCTGTCGTGCCCGCCGGGCACGGAGCCCGCGCTGGGCCTGGAGTACAAGTGGTGGAACGTCTTGCCCCCCAACATGGAGACCACCGTGCTCAGCGGCATCAGCTTCGAGTACAAGGGCGTCGCAGGTACAGGGGGCCGTCCCCTCCCTGACCCCTCCCTGTCCCCTCCCCGGGCACAGCCGGGGCCCCACAAGCGCCGCCGTGTCCCCGCAGGCTGGGAGGTAGCCGGGGACTTCATCTACACGGCGGCCGGAGCCTCCGACAGCGACTTCATGATCCTCACGCTGGTGGTGCCGGGCTTCAGGTGAGGGGGTGTCCCTGCGGCCGGGGGGTGCGGCCGTGCGGCGGGGCTGGCAGTGTCCCCACGCTGTCCCCACGCTGTGCCCAGCCCTCCCAGCCCGGTGCTGGAGGACATGGAGAGCCGGGAGGTGGGAAGGATCACCTTCGTGTTCGAGACTGTCTGCAGTGTGGGCTGCGAGCTCTACTTCATGGTGGTGAGTGGGGGCACTTTGGGGGGTAACCTCGGGTTTGAGGGGGGTCACTGCTGTCACAGTGTCCCCATTCATGGTGGTGAGCGGGGGGCACTTCGGGGGGTCGCCCCGGGTTTGGGGGGACACTGTGACAGTGGTGTCCCCCATTCATGGTGGTGAGCGGGGGGACATGTATTTAGGGGGATCACACTGGGTTTGGGGGGGACACTGTAACAGTGGTGTCCCCAAAGTGAAACACCCCAGAGATGTGTCCCTCCCTCCCAGCAGGAGATGGAGGGGTCACCCTGGGGGTCCCCAAACTCGGGGTCCCCACTGTCCCTCCCCCAAACCTGGGCACAGCCAGGGTGACACCCCAAAGTTGAGGACACTGTGACAGTGATGTCCCCAAAGTGAAACACCCAGGGGATCAGCCCCTCCCCGCCAGCAGGAGAGGTTTGGGGCACCTTGGGGGTCCCCAGAGCCCCTCCTCGGGGTCCCCAGTGTCCCTGCCGGCAGAGAGCCTTTGGGACATGCAGGGGACACTGTCGCTGTCCCCGCAGGGCGTGAACTCCCGTGCCACCAGCCCGGTGGAGACCTGGAGGGGCTCCACGGGCCGAC